TTAAAATAAAGAAAACAATTGCATTCACAATAGCACAAAAAATATTAAAATACTTAGGAATAAATTTAATGAGAAACACGAGATCAAATATCCACATGCCAAAAAGATACACTTAGGCCTTGCCTTACACCATAGGCAAAAATTTACTCAAAATCTTCCACAGACCGAAATATAAGAGCTAAAACAATAAAACTGCCAGAAGAAAACCTTTGTGAATTTGGAAGGCAAAAAGCTCTTAAATATGACACCAAAGTTTGAGTCATAAAAGAAAGAGATGTATAAATTGGACTTCAAAATCAAAACCTGTGCTTAAAAGTCACCATGAGGAAAATGAAAAAGAGACTGGATTCCAGCCACCAACCAGAGGAAAATATTTGTAAAACATACATAAATAACAAACAGCATAGACGAAGACAATCCAGCTTTCAGGATGGGTAAAACATACATAAATAACAAACAGCATAGACGAAGACAACCCGACTTTCAGGATGGGTAAAAGATTTAAGTAGAAATTCACTAAAGGAGATATATAAATAACTAGTTCACATAAACATGTTTAATATCATTAACTATTAGAGAAATACAAATCAAGACCACAATAAGATACCACTTCCTAGCCATTCAGACGGATATAATTTTTAAAAAGATAACAAGTATTGAGGAGGATATGCTAAACCTGGAATGCTCATAAGTTGATGGTGGGAATATAAAACAGTACAGCCACTTTGGAAAGTAATTTGGTAATTTCTTAAAACGTTAAACACGAATTTGCCATACAACCCAGCAATTCTCCTCCTATGCAAAGACTCAAAAGAAATAAAAACATATGTCCATAAAATACTTGTCCACAAATGTTAATAGTAGCATTGCTCATACCAGGCAAAAAGTGGAAATATCCAAATGCCCATCAACCGCTGAATGAACAAAGTGTGCTCTGCAGGCTGGGTACTGTACTGTGGCTCACGCCAGTAATCCAGCACTTCGGGAGGCTGAGGCGGGTGGATCACGTGAGGTCAGGAGTTCGAGACCAGCCTGGGGCAACATAGTGAGACTTCGTCTCTACTAAAAATACAGAAATTAGCTGGGCGTGATGGCATGTGCCTGCATTTCCAGCTACTCAGGAGGCTGAGCCATGTGATTCATTTGAACCCAGGAGGTGGAGGTTGCAGTGAGCAGAGAGATTACGCCACTGCACTCCAACTTGGGTAACAGAGCAAGGCTCTGTCTCAAAAAAAAAAAAAAAAAAAAGTGTGCTCTGTCCATAATATGGAATGCTATTTAGCAACAAAAACGAATGATGTACAGATACACAGAGCAACATGGATTAACTTCAAAAACCTCATGCTAAGTTAAAGAAGCCAGACCCAAGAGATTACCAACTTGATGTGGTATAATTCCATTTTTATGAAATGTCTAGAAAAGGCAGATGGAGAGAGACAGGCAGATGCCTGTTTAGTCTGGGGCTGAGGACGGGAGCAGAGTAACGACAAATGGGCAGGAAGGATCTTTTGGAGGCATGGAAACATTTGTAAATTGTATTGTGGTAACGGTTGTGCTACTGTAGAAATTTACCAAAATATCAAACAATACATTTACAATGGGCGAATGGCATATACTTGTTTTGCATTTTGAGGGTTGGTTTTTGAGAAAGAGTCTTGCTCTGTTGCCCAAGCTGGAGAGCAGTGGTACAATCATGACTCACCAAAGCCTCGAAAAATTAGCTGGGTGTGGTGGTACACACCTGAAATCCCAGCTACTCAGGAGGCTGAGGCATGAGAACTGCTTGAACCTGGAGGCGGAAGTTGCACTGAGCAGAGATTATGCCACTGCATTCCTGAGTGACAGAGCGAGACTCTGTCCCAAAACATAAGTTAAAAAAAAAGAATTTTTTTTAATGTTTAAAATGATACCATTAAGAAGCAGAAAGAAAAGTCCAGAATGTGGAACATTCTACAACACATTGGACTCAGTTTCCTCAGCAAGTCAATTACCTGTGCATGTGTTGGGGGGGCAATGCAGGGGAACTGTTCTAGATTACAAGAAATATTATCGCCAATTACAAGAACAGTATTTGAATGTTGATTCAAATCAAGAATAAAAAAAGAAAATTAAGTTAATCAGAGAAATTTGACAATAAACTCGGTATTAGAGTACACTAAGAATCGTGGTAAATTTCATGTTTGGGGTAAAGGTATTGATGTGGTATAAGAAAGCATGCATACTTTCTAGAGATGCACATAGAACTAAATGTTGTGACTACTTTGTTAGTTACTTCAGCAACCACAAAAAAAGACGAGATGGGAAAACAATGTCTAGCAAAATGGTGAAACAGATCAAATCTAGGTGATGTAAACATATGTGTGTGTACACACACACATATACACACATACACACACACACACACACACACACACACACACACACACACATAGGGGGTAATTATTCTAGTCTAGTTGTTTTTAACATAAACAATTTCATTTAAGAGCTGCCATTCATTGAGCATCTGCTGAAAGCCAATCATCATGTTAAGGGCTTTCTGTGCACCACCAGCTAAATCCTCTCAACAGCCTCATGGTTCAGAACTATTATTATCCCTACTATTATAGATAAAAAGTAATGAAAGAACTACCACTTCAGGTGTAGCCAAACAATCTGCCAGTTCGGCAAAGCCTCAGGGGCCAAGTAAATGAAAGACTACTAGGGTTTTCATTGTGAAAACAATTTTTACCAGTTGGCCACAGTACACACTGGAGGGCAGTCCCCAAGTCCTGTGGTTGATCCTGTGTGTCAGGGACACTGGTAGGCAATAAAAGAGGGAAAAGGAGGTAGATGGAGGGTGAAACAGAACAAGACGACCAGCAAAACAATGAGGGAAGAGGAATGAAAGACGGCAAGGGGAAATAGTAAGGCAGGAACGCATGGAGTCAGTGACAGAAGGCACAATGGAACCCGGAAAAGGAAGACCTGGAGTGTCAGACACATTTACTTCCACCATGGCCCACCTTCCACTCTCCCCCAAACCCTAAGACCAGGCAGAAAGTGAGACTACTACAGAGGAAAACAAAGACCAGGCCCACAGCACGAGACAGCTCTGTCCAAACGTAATTACAGATGGTGATGTGCGCTCTCCCTAAGCTGCCGACCAGCCACTGTACCTTCCTGTGATCATGACCTTCCCAAGCTCAAACTCAGCTTCTCCTGACCAGATCCAAGCTCACAAATTGAAGGGAAAAGAAGAAGAAATTATTTATTTAAACAGTGTTTAACAGCTTGAGATGAAATTCACAGCCCATCAGCACCCAGTGAGGCTGCTCTCAGGGAGTAATTTGTGCAGCTGAGATACTGGACCACAGTAACGCCACTGGGTGCTCAGGTCAGAGCCTCCCGGTGCCAGGGTCAGGAAAGGTTTTAATCCAAACAATAGGAAATACACATCTGGGGGTGCCGTATGTATATTTGGGGGGACTGTAGACAGGAAAGGAGATACAGAAGGGAGAGAAGGACAGAAAACACAAAAGAAGAATCCTCGATGCATTTTGAAAACTGGAATGGGAGCTGAAGGGGGGAGCGGACCGATGTTCTGATCCAGGCAACCGCCAGAATGAACCTTGAAGGCCTTATGCTGAGGATGCAGAAGGCCACACAGTGCATGATTCCCTTCATGTGGCGTGTCCAACATAAGCAAATCCATGGAGGCAGAAACTCGATTCGTGGTTGCCAGGAGCTGAGAAAGGGTGGAGTGGAGGAGGACCGCTAATGGATACGAGGTCTTTTTAGGGTGATGAAAACATTCTAAAATTAGATAGTGCAGATGGTTGTATGGCAGTGAGCACACAAAGTCACTCAACTGTTTACTCTCAATGTGTGGGTTGTGTGCCATATGAAATATACCTCAAGCAATCCACAACAAATAAATGAAAACATTGTTTAACTAGCAAATGGAAAGATAAACAATTCCTTTTCCCTCCGCTCCCAGAGGTGCAGAGTTTCTCTCTCTTGTTATCATGAGTTTTGTTTCTTAGTACAAAAGCAGAAGCGAAGGAGAACATCTGTGCAGCTCATAGCTACACACACACCATGAAAATAATGAGAAGCTGTGAGAACTAATGATGTGAAAGCCAAACTCTTTGATCTGTTCCCTAACCAACTCCTGAGGAGCAGGCAAAGACCAGTCACCTTCCACACGCAGCCCTCGGGCACAGACAGCCCACACGTCATCTGCTTTTCCAAATCACTGCATCCACCTTTTCCTCGTTGTACTTCATGGGTGATCAAAGAATCTCTACCTCCCGAAGACCTCCTTCATAGACAGGCTAATTTCTGTGAACCAGAGAAAGTGGTTTACAAAACTCCAAAGCTTTTCTGCCCCAGTTTCTACTGGTAATTATTTCATTATTTACTGGTTATTATTTTATTATCAGAGTAAAAAAGAAGAAGTGGGAATCAGAACAAGTCACTTCACCTCCCTGTGTCTACGTCTCCTCATCAGCAAACAAATCGGCAAGCCCAGAAATCTCCCGAAGAATACGCAGTCGGGAAGGGATCTCTCAGTCTACGTCCATCAGTCATGGAAACACAGCACAAATTAAGTTCTAGGGAACTTTAATTTTTTGGAATTTTCACAAAGTAATTTCCTCCAGCCATAAAATAATTTTAAAACTATGACGCACAGCTCCCCAGCAAACCATCTCAGTAACCCCACGAGGCAGGCAAGGCGCAAGGAAAAGAAAGAAGTATCCTGTTTTCTTACATTCAGCACTGCTGATTTCATGTAAAAATCCTAGAACTGCTCCTTTCCCAAGAGCTTATCATAGAACTTGTTGCTAGGAATATAAGCCATCATTAAATACCTTATTAATTACATGAAATTTCCTTTATTCCCAGCTGCAGCTATAGAGGATATAACACATTGCGGGGGGAGCTACATTCATGTATTACTATAGCATTGCCCAATTTCATCACTAAAATTATAGTATGCCAAATGAACAAGCAGGACTTACCAATTTTCTGATTGAAAATCTTGTCAAAGGTTATTTCGTTTCTCTCTGCGAGATACTTCTGCATCACACTCCGGATACTGGAAGGAAAGAATGACACATTTTTAACAATACAACCTACATGGTGAGTAACCGCCCACAGAATGAAAGAGATACGGGTGTCTTGACTCAAAGATATCAGCTTTACAAGAGACCCTTCTTACATGAAATGCAGACTAGCCTAAAAGCTGGAAACGCCAGAGCTTTAGCCACCATCCCCTCCTGCAACACAGGGCCAACCTTACTCATAGAAACTCAACTGCAGAAAATAAGGGATTTGAAAACTCACGCTCAATATATCTGCTCTCCAAAATACTCACAAAGATGTCCGCACGCACAAACACGTGCACACAACACGCACCCTACATGCACTGCACACACGACACATGCATGTGCCCGCCAACCACAGGATTCTGCTTCTCGACAACTGGGCTTCTTTCTAAAACAAAAGCAAATGTTCCCTAGATATATTAATATTTTTAAAAATCATATTTCTGTACACCAACAATAAAGCACCAAAAATAATTAAAAGATTTAGCTTGCAACAAAATAAAAAACATCAAATACTTTGAAATTATTCTTTCAAAATATGGTACAAGAACTTTGTGGGGAAAAATTACAAATTGTGTCAGGAGAAATTAAAGAGGACCTAAATAGGAAGATATACCACAGTTATGAACAGAGAAATTCAGTACTGTAAAAGTTCAAAGTCCATCCAAATTTATCTAGGAAATCAATATCATCCCCATTAACACTCCAATAGGGTTTTTCGTAGAACCTAGAAATAAATAAGCTCTAAAATTTATACAAAAAATACAGGATCAAGAATAGCCAAAACACTTCTGAAGAAAGAGAATAAAGATACTTGGGCTTATTATGAAGTTAAAATAATAAAGACAGGATAAACAAACCAATCCAAGAAATGGAAGAGAGTGAAGAAACCGAGTCACACATACATTCGATGTGACATATAATAGAAGTAGGCCAGAAAAATGGGGGAATGATGGACAATTCAGTAAGTGAACCCCAAAAGTGATTATCCAAATGGAAAAAGTAGAAAACTGAATCTCTGTCATCCACTCATGGTGAGAGTTAACAATAACTTAGCATTATCTTTTTTTTTTTTTTTTACTTTTTAAAACAAATTGAAGCATAATTTATATATAATTAAATGCATACTTAAAGTATATTGTTAGCCAGGCAAGGTGGCTCACATCTATAATCTCAGCACTTTGGGAGGCCAAGTGGATCACCTGAGGTCAGGAGTTCGAGACCAGCCTGGACAACATGGTGAAACCCCATCTCTACTAAAAATATAAAACTTAGCTGGGTATAGTGGCAGGTGTCTGTAGTCCTAGCTACTAGGGAGGCTGAGGCAGGAGAATCTCTTGAACCTGGGAGGCAGATGTTGTAGTGAGCCGATATCATGCCACGGCTTGGGGGACAGAACGAGACTCCATTTCAAAAAAAAATGTATATTGTTAAATGTGCTTCTGTCAAACATATACACATATGTAACTAGTATCTTAAGATACAGGATATTTCCATTGCCCCAAAGAGCACCCCTTTACAATCAATCGTCCTGTGTTCTAGAATCCAGGCAACTATTGATCTGCTTTCTGTGAACATAGATTGCATGTTCCAGCTCTAGAATTTTATATAAAATCAAATCACACAATATATTGCCTGTTGTGCCTGGCTTCTTTTGTTTGACATAAGGCAGCTCCTTCCATATTGCTATGTGCATAAGTATTTTGTTCCTTTCTCATGCCAAATAGCATGGTATTGTATGAATATTCCATAATCTGTTTACCCAGCCATCTGTTGACAGACATTTGGGTTGTTTCCAGTCTGGGACTACTATAAACAAAGGTGCTTTAAATATCTACATATAAGTCTTTTTATGACAATGTGTTTTGATTTTTCACAGGTAAATACCAGGCAGTGAAATCATTGGTCATGTGGAAAATCATATTTAATATGATGAAAAACTGATGAATGATATCACAAACTGGTGGCACCATTTTACAACCCCACCAACAACGTGTGATAGTTTCAGCTGCTCCACATCCTTGTCAACACTTGGGTTGTAAGTCTTTAAATTTTAGGACTGTGCGCGGTGGCTCACACCTGTAATCCCAACACTCTCGGAGGTCGAGGCAGGCGAATCACGAGGCAAAACCCCGTCTCTACTAAAAATACAAAAAATTAGCTGGGTGTAGTGGTGGACGCCTGTAATGCCAGCTACTCGGGAGGCTGAGGCAGGAGAAGCACTTGAACTCCTGAGGCAGAGAGAGATCTTGCCACTGCACTCCAGCCCTAGCGACAGAGAGACCCTGTCTCAAAAAAAAAAAAAAAAAAAAAAAACTTACCCACTCTGTTGGGTGTGTAGTAGTATCTTATTATACTTTGTATATTAATTTGCATTTCCCTAATGAATAATGATGCTGAACATGTTTGTACATGATTATTGGAATTCTCTCTTCCTTTTAGAGGTATGTAGACAAATCTTTTGTCTACCTTTTAATTGAGTTGTCTTATTATTCAGTTGTACAACTTCTTTACATAGTCCAGAAATAAGCACTATGTCAGATTTATGTGATGCTAAGATTTTCTCCCAGTTAGCACCTCAGCTCTTCATTTGCTTCCAGGAGTCCTTCTAAGAGCAGAGGTATTTACTTGATGGGTTCCAGTGTATTGACATTTCTTTGATGAACAGTATGTGCTAAGAAGTTTTTCATGCCTCAAGGTCATGAAGATTATAAGCTATACTTTCCTTTAGAAGTTTTAAAGTTTTAGCTTTTCTGTAAACACAAAAATGGTCTAATCTCCATTTCCGGGTAATTTTTCTGTAGAGTACAAGGTAGAAACCAAAGTTATTTTTTTCTTATAATATTTAATTGCTCTGGAATTACTTGCTGAAAAGACTCCTTTCTTTCTCTTTTCTCCATTAAATTATCTTGACACATTTGTTGGTTCAGCACTAAATACATGCAGGTCTAACTCGGGACCATCTTGTTACATTGATCTGTATGTCTGTCCTTATATATACATTGTATCATCTCATTGCTTCTTTTCTAACTTAAGAAGTTGAATCAATGAATTTAAATTATTTCTAATGTAACCAATTAAAATTATAAAATTCCCTGTAGGCATTGATTTAACTGCACCTCACAAATACTGACACATTCTATTTTCATTTTCATTCTATTCTAATTATTTTCTAATTTCCCTTGAGATTTCTTCCTTGACCTATGAGCAATTTCAAAATGTGTTGCTTCATTTCCAAATACTTGGAGATTTCCAGTTATCCTTCTGTTATTACTCTAATTCACTGATGGTCAGAGAACATACTTGGAATAACTCAATTCTTTTAAGCTTTGTCGATATGAGTTTTATTATCTGGAATACGATCCATCATTTTGAGTAGTTCGTGTGCATTTAAAGGGAATGTGCACCCTGCTGTTGGATACACTGATTCAGAAGTGTCAACTGGGGCAAGTTGGTTGATAGTGCTGCTTAGATTTTTCTCTATGCTTCCTGATTTTCTGTCTACTTTTTCTATAAATTACTGAGAGATGAATGTTGAAACCGTTAACTCTAACTGGAAATCTATTTCTCTTTTCAATTCTGTTTTCGTTGTATATTTTACTGCTCTGTTGTTAAGTACGTGAACATTTAAGAACATTGTAGTGCTTGCTTGATGAAATGAACCCATGGTCTTTACAAAATGTACCTTTTTAATGCCTGTTTACAATCTTTGTTAACTCTATTTCATCAGATATTAATCAAGTCATTGCAGCTTTCTTTTGGTTCGTGCTTACATAGTATTATTATCTTTGCCTATTTTTTTACCTTTAAGGATTTATATCTTCATATTTAAAGTAAGTTTCTAGTTCACAACAGACAGTCATCACTTGGTATACAAGCCATGGGTTCCAGGACCCATCTCAGATCCCAAAACCCTAGGATGCTCAAGTCCCTTATATAAAATGGTGTAATATCTACAGAGAACTTATGCATATCCTCCTGATAGTTTCAATCATCTCTAGGCTACTTATAAGACCTAATGCAATGTAAATGCTATGTAAATAGTTGTTACACTGGATTGGTTTTTATTTGTATTTTTATTGTTGTATTGTTATTTTTCATTGTTTCTTTCTTTCCAAATATTTTGATCTGCAGTTGGTTGAACACTCAGATACAACCCACAGGTATGGCCGGGCATGGTGGCTCACGCTTGTAATCCCAGCACTTTGGGAGGCTGAGGTGGGTGGATCACCTGAGGTCAGGAGCTCTAGACCAGCCTGGACAACCTGGTGAAATTCTGTCTCTACTACAAATACAAAACTTGGTGGCAGTCGCCTGTAATCCCAGCTACTCAGGAGGCTAAGGCGGGAGAATCACTTGAACCTGGGAGGCGGAGATTGCCGTGAGCCGACTGCGCCACTGCGCTCCAGCCTGGGTGACAGAGCGAGATTCCGTCTCAAAGAAAAAACATCACAGATATGGACAGCTGACTTTATAGATGGCTCTTGCTTTTCCGCCCCACCTGATAATCTCTGTCTTTTAACTGAAGTGTTTAAACAATCTGCATATTTCTGTTAGGTAGATACATGCTTGTGAATTAGCTAGATCATATGGTAAATATGTTTTAGCATAACTTTTTAAAAACCTGCCAAACCACCTTCTATTGTAGCTACATCCTTTCAGATTCCCACCAGCAATACAGAATTCCTGTTTCTCCTTAAACATACTTATTTTCTGAATTTTTTATTTTACCCATTTTAGTGGGTGTCAAATAGCATCACACTGTGGTTTTAATTTCCATTTCCCTAATGAGTAATGATACTAAGCATTTTTTCATATGCTTATTAGCTATTCATGTAACTTCTATAGTGAATTGGCTATTCAAATATTTTACCCATTTTGAAGAGGATTGGTAACTTCATATTCAATTGCTGAGTTCTTTATATATTCTGGATACAAGTTATTTATCATACATGTGATTTTCAAATATGTTCTCAGAGTCTATAATCTG